CTTGGCAGATGAGCTGTAAGCTACATATGAATTCAGCAGTGTTACCTCAAATTAGCATAACAGTCATTGTGGTTGTGTCAGATCAATTCCAGACTTCACAAGCTTCACATTGGATCATCATCCTTGATCAGCTCCTCAAGACTATGATCTGTAATGGGACAAACTCTGCCTCGCATGGACCACTGGAATAATTTATTTTGAAATAGATCAATAGCCTGTAGCCTCTATTGGGAATATAGGTTTGTCTGCTATGTCATCCAGCCTTGTTATATATTTCATCACTCTCACCCAGGATTTTTCTAGATTCCTCATATATACATATACTCAAATAATGCTGTAAATATATATGTACCATATGAGGCAATATAATTATCAGTGCAATGGAAAGCCAACAATGTTCACAAGAGAGACAAAATGTTACAACCAAAGCTTTTATACTCTGGCGCACAATGAGAACAGGTAAAGAGGAGTGAGTGAGAGAGTGGATAAACTCCCTTAGTATTAGGAACAGTAGGACCCACTGAGGAGTCTCCTTGATATATTGGGATATTTTATACTACTACAAGCTATTTGTACATGTGTACTATACAGTTGATGAAAGCAGTGGCTGATAACGTTATAGGGTGCAGCCCATGTGACTAGCTCCACTGTGTGAGAGAATTGTATCTAGAATTAAGAAGAAGAAGCACAACACGAGAAAGTGAAAGTCTGGACAAAAGGAAAGTGCCTAATGGCACAAGTGCGTGGGAAATGAGAAAGAAGGTTAAAGAGGAGAATAGAAGTTAAAGGTCCAAAAATTGTGTATCATAACATTACCCCCCTCCTAAGGCTTGACTTCCAGGCAAAGCCAAGTACCGGTGGTAGTAGTTAATCTTTTGGGCATTGTTTGAAAAACAGAATTAAAAGATTTGAATCCATGCCTCTAAATTTCCTAGGAGCCAATGTATTATAGGAATAAAATGAACAGTGTCGTGGGAATTGTCCAGATAGGCTTCTGGTTCCCATGTTCTGTCCTCATCTTCATAGCCCTTCCAGAGAACCAGGAACTCTAATTTTCCACGCTTCAAGGGTGCATCAACCACATTTTCCACTTCAAATTCTTCTTCACCTTCCTGGGTCACTACAACCGGTCTGGGCCAGTCTATGCGCTGTCCCGGCAGCGGTCCTTTGTGTTTTGCCTTTGCCCAGCTAATATTAACCATGGATACTACCCTTATTTGTTTTGGGAGCTCTAGCTCCACTGCATTGGGTTTAACTTGCTTAATCCGGTAAGGACCAATCCACTTTTTGGTCAGTTTTCTAGACTGCCAATCTTTTAATTTTAAGTGGTTGGTATCTAACCAGACCAGGTCGCCAACCTTGTAATCAGGGGCCTTGGAGTGTCTATGCTCTGCCCTGTTTTCCATCTGCTCTGCAGTTTTAAATAGTGCCTTGCGCATTTTGTCTAAGACAGATTTCATGTCCTTAGCCATGTTCCCTGCAGCCTTGTTCTTGCTTTTACCAGGTTCTACACCCATTCTGGGGAGGTACAATCTCGTAACCTCAAATGGTGCCTTTCCTGTAGCCGACAACTGTTTAATATTATAAGAGAACTGGGCTATCTTTAGCCACTTGGCCCAATCTGTCTGTCTGTCATTGATAAATATACGAAGGTATTGCTTCAATTCCTGATTGAGCCTCTCTGTTTGTCCATCTGTTTGCGGAGGGAACACCATTGATAACTTAGATTTGATGCCCAGCACCCGACATAACTTTTGTAAATTTGCTAGCAAATTGGGGTCCCCTATCAGAGATAATTGTTTCCGGTAACCCGTGGGTAGACCATACAAAATGTTTATATAAGTTCGCCGTACCACTAGCTGTAATTTTTTTATTGGTGGGAATGAATACCACTTCTTTGGAGAATCAATCTACTACCACCATTACTGAATCATACCCATTTGATTCGGGCAGATCCGTTGTAAAGTCAACCAATATATCCTGCCAGGGACCAGCTGGTATTGGATTTGGCATAAGTTTTCCGGCCTGCGGTTGATGCAAGTTCTTTGCCATGGCACATCTTAGACAGGATTTTATGTATTCCTGTACGTCTTTGACCATGCCAGGCCACATATAGTTTCTGGAGATCAACTCCATTGTTTGTTGCCACCCAGGGTGCCCAGCCACTGGAGTGTCATGATGTCTGTCTATTGCCTTGATCCTTGCTGACTCAGGCACATAGATTTTGTCTTTGTAATGGAAGAGCCCATCTTCCCATAAATAGTGTAAATTGCCATCAAGGTGTGCCTTCTCTTCTGAGATGTCTTTCCTGAAGACTTCTAGAAGTTTGAAATCCTGCCCAATTTGAACATTGGCACCCTGGGTTGATCTATCAGGGTGACACCTTTGTTGTCATCTTCAATGCCGTTGGCATGATCCTCTCTTCTAGACAAAGTGTCTACTTTCCCCATTGAAGCACCAGGCTTATGAATTAATTTAATTTATAATTAGACCTAGATAGATACACCACATAGCGGGCCTGTTTTCTGTTCAAGTCTCAGGCCGTCATAAAATATTCCAGATTCTTATGATTGGTCCAAATTTCAAATTGATGCCTAGCATCCATCTTCTAAGTAGTGCCGCCAGTGCTCTAGAGTTCTAATGATGGCCAGCATCTCTTTATCGTAAATTTGATAGTTGCACTCTGTAGGCGACAAACTATGAACAGCCCCAGTAGCAAAATCAGAAGAGTTAATTTCTAGCCGAAACTCTTTGTCTAATTCTGGAAATGCTAATATAGGCGCCGTTGTAAATGCCTGTTAAGCTTATCAAAAGCTTCTTGTTCTTTGGTGCCCCAGTGCTAGACAATGTCCTTGTGAGTGAGATTGTTCAACAGTCTCGTTATCTTTGCAAAGTTTTCAACAAACCTTCGGTAGAAATTGCCTATGCCAAGGAAGGCCCTAACTCCTTTGATGCAAGTAGGTTTAGGACAATCCGATATAGCTTGAACTTCCTCAGCATCCATCCTGATTCTGTTCTGGCCAATTATCATACCAAGGAAGTCTACTTCTTTTACTTCAAAGTTACATTTTTTGGGTTTGACGAATAGGTCCCATTCCTGTAAGCGTCAAAGGACTTCTTGCACGACCCTGTCATGCTCAGCCTCATCATCTGACTTCGTAAATATCAATAAATTGTCAATGTAAATGACAACACAGTCCTCCATATCCACAAAAATCTCGTTTAATCATGCTCTGGAAGGTTGCCGGTGAATTGGACAACCCAAAGAACATAACAAGGGGTTCAAAGGATCCTCGGTGGCATGTGAACGTGGCCTTCCAGGCATCCTCCTCTTTGATTTGTACATTATTGTACCCCCATCTGAGATCCATCTTTGTTAAGATCTTGGTGCCAGCCAATTTATCTACTAGCTGACTGATCAAAGGCAGCAGATACGCGTTTTAAACTGTGTACTCATTTAAGTAACGATAGTCCATAATCATGCACTTTTTACCATCTTTTTTAGGAATAAAGAACACCAGGGACATCATAGGGCTCTTGGAAGGTCTGATGTAACCCTTCCTAAGCTGTTTATTTATGGAACTTGAAACCTCATCTCTTTCTGGAGCAGAGAGGGGAATCATGTGTCCTTTTCTTGGTTTGAAGGTGTCCTTCAAATCTATAGCATGGTCCCAAGGCTTAGCCTCTGGGAAGCGCTCTGATTTGTGTTTTGAAAAGACTTTCCAGAAGTCATGGTACTCTGGAGGTACCAGCCTCTTGATCTCTTCCTCAGGTTTTACCTTGTCATCATCATCATCAATCTTATCTAACAATCAGAGCTTGGCATAAACGTGACCAGCATTTATCCTTTCATCCAGCTCTGTATGACAGACGTGACTTGGCTTATCCAAGTCATCACACTCCTGCGGGCAACGTGACAATGTGACAACCACTGTCTGCCAGTTGATCTCAGGATTGTGTTTAAATAGCCAGGTCCAGCCTAAGATTAAATTATTCTTCCCTAGTTAGGTAGCCTTGGCGGTGACTCATTCTCTGTTTCCTTGGTACTCAACAATAAAAGAACATTTGTGCGTAATGCAGCCACCCGCATTAAGCATACCGTCAATGTTATAGACGGGAATAGATACATCTAATTTTACCAGGGGAAGTCCAATTTTCTCTGCCCAGACCTGATCTATGAAAATGCTGTTTGCGCCTAAATCAAGCAGTGCACTGGTTGGGTGTACTATGTTCAATTGAGAACTTCTGGGAAGTGTCTAGCCACTTGCTGAGAGATAACAGGGACAGAACTAGAGTCCAGTATGAGTAACTATATTATCAGAGAGTACAGAATGTGTACAGTACCTAGAGTCCAGTATGAGTAACTAAAGAATAGGAATACTGGACTCTGCAATACTAGTCCGAAGTTTTGTAAACAAAGGTAAACAAATCAGCCGCAAAGGTGAAATTATAGAATGCTCAGTGAATACTGAACAATAGAGCAAAAAGAATTAAGAGGAAAGTGATTTAGAAAGAAGGGAAAATAGATAGCACAACTAGGTGCAGAATCACCAAAACTAACATACTATGCCCTGGGCAAGATTCTCCACACCTACGTCTAAACAGATATCTTTTTGATATAAAAAAATATGTGTGCATCAACACACACCTTGGGATTTTGGGGAAAGGTGGCTCCAAAGAAGAAGAAGAATTGAGAAAAACATGTTTCTCTACTTTAATATTTTCTATATTTTTATTTTTATTTTTACCAGAATCAAGCACCCTAGTAGTTGTCTTGCTGGGGCCACACTTAGAGGGAGACACTGGTGCAGCGGTAGTATCATAAATATTACAGTCACAATTCTTCATACAAGTACATGCTTTAGATGATAGATTTAGATAATTATTTACAAATAGGGGAGCCACCCTCTTTCCTTTATTGCTCGTGCAACACCCAGGAGCAGGGACCGCTTTGTTGTGGTTTACTTCATTGTTTCGTGGAGCGAAGGCACCCAAGTGACCTAAGCTCCAAACTCTTTTCCCTGAGCTTTCATTTCATTGACTTGCTGGTCGTAGAAGAAAGCCCAGAGTTCATCATGCGAATAACCGGCCAGAGTATTGAGCCAATTGTGCGGCTTTTGGGTTTCTAATTGGTGCGCCTGGCGCCCTTGATTATTTTTTTTGTTGGGTGGCCTGCACCCCGTTTTTGCAATCTCGGGACATGTGTCCCCCTTGGCCACAGTTGTAACAGCTGCCCTTGAATCTGCGCATCTGTCCGCCTTGGACCGCGCCAATATCCATAAACCTGTCCTGGCTGCAGCCCGAACAGCTTGAACCCGTGAGAGTGATTATGGTGGTTTGATGACCCAGGGCGCCTCCGGGATTGGTTGTTTTTGGTGGTGGTCCCACCACCTTGGTGCATAACGTAGAGCTCCATGGCTCTACCAACTCGGCAAACTTCCTCAGCCACCAGAGCCAGGTTGTCACTCTGTGTATCCTGCAGGTAGATCTGTTCTGCAATGCGGGGGTTCACATTGCATTCCAGCAGTTCTACTTGTTCATTACCCAGCCCTCCTTGGATGGAGAGGGCCAGAAACCGGGTAACGTAATCATCTGTCCTCATGTTTCCTTGTTTGGAGGAACAGATCTGCTGACGCACCCAGTCACACTCAGCTTGCAGTTTGAAATATTTTTTGATCTCAACCTTGAGATCATCCCAGACAGGCCACACTCCCGCGGTGTAGCACTCCTGCATTCTAACTTGGGCGTATTGACCCGCCACAGGTCCTTTTAGTCGAGATAGCACAGCGGTCGCTATCTCAAAATTGTTGGCAAACGTGTCCCAGTTTGCCTTGATCGAAATTTGGAGCTTGATCCACCATTCGGCAAATTGAGCCCTATCTCCTTTGAAAGCACTGGGGTCAGCGACAATCTCGACTTTTTTGTTGAACTTTTGCTCAACTGTAGGTTCAGCTGCTGGGGCAGCCTGAATCTTGGCGAACTATGCTGTCAACGCCTGAATCTGTGCACGCATATTGTGCAGCAGACTGTTTATATTGGGTTGCAACAACATGTTGACTTGTTCTCTTTGTAATGTAAAAAAAAGATAACTGGGGGTCCCCACTTGCTATCTGTGGATCTACCTCTTCCCAGCTGAGTATCAGATCTCAATCTCCGACTACCCACACTGTAGTATTTAAAAAGTATATAAAAGGTATTTGTAATAAAGCCTGGTCCGAACGGTTGTCAGGGGGTGGTCCGCTTGTCAACCCTTCTCCAACTGGCGGAGGCAAGTGCCCGGCCCGGTCAGAGATATTTGAAAGAAAAATTTTGTATGTAATTTCTAATCATCAAGTAGTTCCACACTACTGTTGAGCTGAGGTACTCCCCTTAACACTGGGGTTCGTGTATAGATGATTTAATTGTCCCTTCTCCCTGAGCACTACAGGGCCATTGCTAAGAGCGCACCCTTCTGCTATATGGGATATCCCAAAACAATAACCCCTTAACCCTGGGGACCTGGTTTGCACAAAGTGCGAGAGAGTAATGAAGAGCAAGTCCTAATATTACAACCAAGAGTTTGTATACTCTGGCGCACAACTCAGACAAAGCTATAAGGAAGTGAGGGAAGTGGTTACCCTTTAGATAGGACCGAGTTGGTTGTGGGTAAACAACAGGAGAATTCACTGAGGAGTCTTGATCTATTGGGGTATATATACTACTACAGATTGTTTGTACATGTGTACTGTACAGTTGGTGGTGGCAGTGGCTGATGATGTCATGGGGCACAGCCTGTGTGACCAGCTCCACTGCGTGAGGTATTTGTATCTAAAAATAGAAAAAGGCAGTGCAGCACAAGAAGTGGAGTTTGAACAATAATGAAAAGTGCCGCATGGCACAGGGTGTGAAAACTACAAAAGAAAGTTGACAAGGAGAATGAAATTTGAAGGTCCAAAGATTGTGTTATCATAACACCCAGCCACTGGTGTGTTGTGACATCTCTCTATTGCCTTGATCCTTGTGGACTCAGGAACATAGATCTTGTCTTTGTAATGGAAGAGCCCATCTTCCCATAAATAATGTTCATTGCCATCAGGGTGCACCTTTTTTTCTGATGAGATGTCTTTCTTACAGACTTTTAGAAGATCTGAATCCTGCCCAATTTGAACATTGGCAACCCTGGATTGATCTATCAGGGTGACACCTTTGTTGTCATATTCTATGCTGTTGACATGATCTTCTAATCTAGACAAAGCATCCGCTTTTCCCATAGAAGTGCCAGGCTTATGTATTAATTTATAATTAGTTGTGGCAACGGGTAAACACCACCTGCTGAGTCTAACCATATCACTTCCTAGACAAGTATACCACATAGTGGGCCTGTTTTTGGTTCAAGTCCTGGGCCATTATAAAATACTCCACATTCTTATGATTAGTCCAGATTTCAAATTGGTGCCTAGCACCTTCTAAATAGTTCTGCCAGTGTTCTAAAGCTCAAATAGTGGCCAGTATCTCTTTGTCATAAATATGATAGTTGCGCTCCATGAGCAACAAACTATGCAATAAATAGGCACAAGGCCTTCAAAGATTATTAGGGCATTTTATTGACAGAACAGCCCTAGTAGCAAAATCAGAAGAGTCGGTTTCTGGCTGGAACTCTTTGTTTAGTTCTGGAAAAGCTAATATGGGTGCTATTGTAAATGCCAGTTTAACCCTATCAAAAATTTCTTGTTCCTCGGCACCCCAATGCCAAGCAATGTTCTTTCTTGTGAGATTGTTCAATGGTTTTGTGATTTTTGCAAAGTTCTAAACAAACCTTCAGTAGAAATTGCCTAAGCCAAGAAAGGTCCTAACTCCTTTGACATGAGTAGGTTCAGGCTAATCCAAAATATCTTGAACTTTCTCAGGGTCCATCTTGATTCTATTCTGGCCAGTTATCATACCAAGGAAGTCTACTTCCTTCACTTTGAAATTATATATCTTGGGTTTGACAAATGTGTCCTATTCCTGTAAGCATTGAAGGACTTCTTGTACAATCCTGTCATACTCAGCCTCATTGTCTAATTTTGTGAGTATTAATAAATCATCATTTACATTGATAACACAGTTTTCCATATCCACAAAATTTTCATTCATCATGCTCTAGAAGGTCGCTGGTGAATTAGTCAACCCAAAGAACATGACAAAGGGCTTAAAGGATCCTTGGCGGCATGTAAACATGGCCTTCCAAGCATTTTCTTCTTTAATACATACATTATTGTACCCCAATCTGAGATCAATCTTTGTTAAAATCTTGGCGCCAGCTAACTTACACTGACTCCAAAAACCGTTGCAATATTTGGCCTAACCACTATGCTCAAAGCACACCAGGAATGATGCTTGACTTTGGTGGGGTCAACAAAAGTACTTGGCCTTGGCTACAAAATGGTTCCTGGGTCATGTGAGTTGGCCCAGCGGCTGTGGAGATATGTCTATTTTAAAACAGCAATACCATTGCAACAGTTTTTTTTTCATTTTTGGTATCAAGGGAGATATCTAGGGAATATCAGTACTTGGTATAGCCTCCTTTTGCCTTGAGCACTGCTTGAATCATCCTAGGCATGCTTTCAATTAAGTTGCAACACTCTGCAACTGCTACTTTCTCCCACTCTACTTAAATCCTCTCCCACAACTCCTCTATCCCATTAGGAGGGTGTTCATACTCTGTAAGCCTCCTCTTGAGACAACCCCACCTATGTTTAATAGGATTAAGGTCAGGAGACTGTGCAGGCCACAACATAGTTCTAAATTCCTGATCATCTAGCCCCTCCTTGACCTTTTTGCAGGTACGCTTGGGGTCATTATCTTACTGAAAGATGATGTCAGGAGGATTGAAACCATAATACTGCAGGGTGTTCAGCAGTTCATCCTTCAAAATCTGAAGGTAAAGGTCCCCATCCATCCTACCATCAATTCTAGCAGTATACCCAACTTCCTCCCGAGTCATACAGCCCCAGATCATGATAGAACCTCCTCCAAACTTGACAGTTCCCTGTACCAATCTATCAGTAAGCCCCTCACCTGGCTTTTTCCACACCCACTTGTGTCCATCTGACCCCAGGAAATTGATTTTGGTCTCATCAGACCATACAACCTTCTTCCAGTCCTCTACAGTCCAGTCCTTGTGAGCATGAGCAAAGTCCAACCTAGCCTTATGATGCTTGGCAGAGAGAAGAGGGTGTTTCTGCTTGACCACAGCCTTTATGCCAGTTTTTTTCAAGTGCTGGTGGACAGTGTTTGGGGATAGAGGTTGGTTAATGATGTTGGTAAGAGCTTTGGTGATCTGGACAGCATTTTCTGTTAGAATATACTCTGACATACCAATACCCCATAGGATAATACCTCTGATTTGTAACCCAATCCAGTATGCAGCAGCTATATTGTGTAAGATGTCCGTGGTTACATGTTATGTTTAAGATCCTACATTGTATAACCTTGGCCATATAGCTCAATTGGTAGAGCAGCTGGCATGTATCCAGAAGGTTCCAGGTTCAATCCCTGGTCTGGTCATTATCCAATTTTATCATTTTCTGCCTTGCAAGTGGAGATGAGATGCATAGCATGGCGGACATTGGCAGGAGAAAGCTTAGATGGACAACCTCCAACAGAAATTTGGAGCTCAGAACGCTCCTTGGAGCAAAGTTTAGAGATGGTAGAGACATGGACACCAGTGGTAGAGGCAATGGAGTGAGCAGTTTTACCTCCATCAAGGAGGTTAAGAATCTGGTTCTTTTGAGCAGGAAAAAGTTTTTTTTTTTTCATGATTATGGTGGTTGAGAATAAAGAAGTGTGTGAACTTTTTTAAACTCAGAAACAATGTTTATACATGTATCTTTGTTTGTGGGACCAAACAAAGTCAGATATTGTTACAATTGACATACCAGTACTTACTTACACTTCACCTTTTTCGTACTTTTACTTTCATTTTTCCAAGTCACATGACCAGTCATGTGACCATTTACTTTACTTTACATTTTCGGACCTTTCATAGTCACATGACTGGTCATGTGACACAACACCTGACCAATATCTAGACTCATCATGTGACTGGTCACATGCTAGATATTGGACTTTAAAGTTTATTTACAACTGTACAGTACCTCATGTATTTTAGTATATATACATATATACAGGAGCAACACATGGGGAAGGACTCAGCAAGTCCTCCTGTTGTCTACCAACAACTAACTTGTTGAAACCTAATGGGTAACCACTCCCACTTCTTCCTCTTCTTTTGAGTGTTGTTTTCATTGTGCTCCAGTGCCCCAAGACTGTGTCTTGTTGGTGTTGTCACAGATATTCTATGATATCATACCATCTTTTTTAGGAATGAAGAACACCGGGGACGTCATAGGGCTCTTGGAATGTCTGATATAACCCTTCCTAAGCTGTTTATTTATGGAACTTGAAACCTCATCTCTTTCTGGAGCAGAGAGGGGAATCATGTGTCCTTTTCTTGGTTTGAAGGTGTCCTTTAAATCTATAGCATGGTCCCAAGGCTTGGCCCCTGGGAAGTGTTCTGATTTATGTTTAGAAAATACTTTCCAGAAGTCATGGTACTCCGGAGGTACCAGCCTCTTAATCTCTTCCTTAGGTTTCACCTCATTATTGACATTGTCAACTTTGTCTAAAGATCTGAGTTTGACATAAACATGACCCTGTGAGAATGATTTTGATTTTGGTTTGGTGGCCCAGGGTGCCTCTGGGAATAGTTGTTTTTGGTGGTGGACCCACCACCAAATTGCATGGTGTAGAGCTCCATGGCCCTACCAATTTTGCAGACTTCTGCCGCCATCAAAAGATTCTTGCTTTTGATAGCTTGCAGATAGAGCTGCTGTGCAATGGCTGGTGACACATTGCGCTCCAACAACTCTACTGCATGTTCATTTCCAAGACCCCCTTGGATTGAGAGGGCCAGGAACTGGATAACAAAGTCATCCGTCCTCATGTTTCCCTGCTTGAAGGAACAGATTTGCTGGCATGCCCAGTCACGCTCAGCTTGTGGTTTGAAATATTTTTCAATTTTAATTTTGAGTTTGTCCCAAGTAGGCCAGTGACCAGTGGTATACCACCCTTGGCGTCTAACTTGGGTGTATCCACCACAAGTCCTTTGAGTCTTGACAGCACAGCTGTCACTATTTCAAAATCATCAGCAAACACATCCCAGTTTGCCTTGATCCACCGTTCAGCAAATCTAACCTGGTCTGCCTTGAAAGTGCTGGGGTCAGCGACAATTTCAATTTTTACCGGAAGACAGAACTCTGGCATCTCCAAAGGAGTTGTTCTCCGAGCCCAACACCCCCGAACCATTGGTATATTTGGGATTATGTTCCTCGTAGTCTTCTGGTTAGCATAACTCTACACTCCATTCCCACATGGTACTCCGGTTATCCGCTCTGATACTCCTGCACTGGACTTTTAGTCCGCCATACATTCTCCTTGCACATTCTAGTATTCCTCGTAGACTCTGTAGTTAGACCTGATACACTCCTCACACATACATTCTCCTCTTGCTAGATAATTGTCTGCATGGAACTCCGTACCTACACTATGAGTTACTCCTTATGAGCTCCTGCTCCCCTGACAGTATATAAGCTGTAACTCCTGTACTCTGTTCCTGCAGTTTGAATATCAACTAGATTCCCTCACTTTCTTACCAGTCCTTTTCTAAGTCCTTTCCGGTCCTTCTCCAAAGGATCTGTACTCTGCTTTTTTTCATCCTCTACTTCTCCTCTGTCCACTTCCAATGAGTTAGGGACTAAGGTCTGTGGAAGGGTCTAGCGCATGAGCTAAGCCGATTCCCCATCTCGTCCTCCAATACTCCGCCCTCTGTACTCCGCAGCTCCGTTACTCCAAAGAGGCCATGGTTCTGACAGGGGGAGGTGTTACAATACACAATTTTTGGACCTTTAAATTCCATTCTCCACTTTAACTTTCTTTTGTAGTTTTCACACACTGTGTCATGCAGCACTTTCTATTTTGTTCAAACTCAACTTTCTGGTGCTGCACTGTTTTCCTTTATTCTTAGCTACAAGTCTCTCATGTAGTGGAGCTAGTCACACGGGCTGCACCCTATAACATCATCAGCCGCTGCTTTCATCAACTGTATAGAACACATGTACAAATAGTCTGTAGTAGTATAAATACCCCAATATATCAAGGAGACTCCACAGTCCTCCTGCTATTCACCCATAACAAACTTGGTCCGACCTAAGGGAGATTATCCTCTTCT